TAATCCTTTCCAATGTGGCTTTAAATTTTTGAAGAGAATTATAATATTCTTGTTCTTGAAATTTTCCTTCGTACTGCATTTTAGTTAATCTTAACCTTTTTATTTCACATTCTGCCATTATTACTCGATCTACTAATCTTGAACACATATTTTTGTTGAATTCTGATTTCTCATAGATGCCAACAATTTCGTTAATTAGTTTTGCTATAGCATCGAGTACTGGAAGGAATGATGATACAGTATCTGCAATTTTTGCTATTTTAATCGCACTTTCACTGTGATCTGCAATTTTTGCTATTTTAATCGCACTTTCACTGTGATCTCTAAGGTTCTTATTACTCGTTATATAATCCCCCAAAAGATTCCAACTAAAAGATTTTGTACCAACTTCTGTTGTGATGCTAAATTTTTGATTGGTGTCAATCATGCACCATCTCATCGTGACATTTTCCAATATCTTACTTTGTATCTCTTCCGAATTATATTGAAACACTTCAACGTTCATTGTACCAACTTTTGAACATTCTTTAATTTTGCTTTTAATAATTTGATTTTTATCAAGATCTTTCGAATCAAAGTTAGTGACAAAAATGCATGAATTCGACCATGTAGACGATAAAATTTCAACATTGATTGGTAATTGATCTGTTATTATTTTCTTCCCAAAGTCAATTTTGATGTCACGAGATTGTTTGCTAAAATATCCATATCCTTTGGCAAGTACTATCCAAAAAACCTGTGCACCAACAGGAATGCTGCTGCATAATTCATAGAAAATGAATACATCGATATAATTATAAAATTAAAAAAGTTAGTATGAAATACCTTCTGTTATCAAGTTTATGGATGGTAGCTCGGCATCCATATTGGTTTGCCAAATTAAATCGTATCATCACAACCGATACTTTTTGTTCATCAACAACTAAGCAACCAAACATTTCATAATTGTTATCATGAAGTGGATTTTCAAATTGAATATTTATGTACGTTTGATTGCTACGAATGATTGTTGTGCCCGTCATAACAATGTGATAATTATTTGATACTATGCTTTCAATATTTTTCTGCTTAACTTTAGGCAATATTTTGTATAAAGGAATTAAATCTTGCATCACTATATTCCAATTTTGTTTCTCGTCCAAGTTTTTTAATAGGGAATAAATTTCATTACTTTTCACTATATCGCCGTTAAAATCCAAAAAGAGTGCTGTATTTAAAATTTTCACAGATTTGTTCCATTCTTCAAGTGTTTTCTCTACAATTTTGGACTCATCTTCATTCATGTCAAAATCGACATATTCATCTTTTATAAGTTGAATGTTATTATAAGTCTTTGAAAAAGTTCTGCCAAGAATAATACTCTGAGGACAAAAGTATCCAAATTTATCAAAAACACTTTTCAAGCTGCGAAATGGATAGTCAGAATTAAATGCTTCATCTACCGCTTCTAAAAACATCTGAGATGGCTTTAATTTGTCAATGCCAAATGCTAATTTAATTTTTTCTGATACGATAGAACAATGAACCTCATTAGATTTATGCTCATTATCAAATATGGGGTGAAAACTTGTTAAACTTTCTGTCAAAAATGGTATTTCTTTGACATTAATGTCGTCAATTTTAATCTGATTAGCCAAAGTAAATGCGTCTTGTTTATTAGAAGGTCGTCGTAAATACATATATGATTTGTCTAATAAATATAATTCAGGTATTCCAAGAAATTCTAATGCAATTTCCAATCCATGTTTTATGTTGTTTTGTTGAATATTTAAACCATAATGAAAACATAAATTGTTAGTCCAATGACACAAATGTATCAAAGGTGAATTTTTAGCCCAGTTATTTAAATCTTTAGGGTTTTGACTATTAGTGATATACGGAACAATCATAAGTTTCTTATCAATATTCTGAGGCATTCCACAAACTTTAATTATTTCTTGCTTGATTTCATCTTTGAGTAAGGTATATATTGGGACAATTTTACCAAATGCAATGACATATCCTTTTTTATGTTCATAAAAGCCTTCAATCCAAGCCTTTAATTCATGTCCAGAAGTAATTCTTTGATTATCATTCATATCTTCTGCAATGAAAATATTATTAAATGGAACGTGACTAAATATATTGGGGTTTCCGGAAACAATATGATCATTAACCCAATATACGCAAGCTTTTAAAGTATCAATATCTTGCAAAAGTGATTTTCTGTCTTTGAGACATGCAGATTTGATCTTAAGTGCACCACCAATAACGATTTTTTCAGCAATATAATCACCGTATTTCTCAAAAGTCTCTTGAAGAGCTTTGCGAACTGATTTTTGATCTGGGTTTTTTAGTATCTCTTCAATATTCCTGATAAATCCGTCAGATATTGTATATTTTTCATATTCAACATCAAGAAGCCGAATGTGTAAACAAATATCTACAGACATCTGATTAGAAATGCATTCATTTTTCAGAATATCGAATGGATTGCTAGATATGTTTGTATAAATTTGAATAGATTGTTTCGCTTTATGGGGGGTAATTATCCCATTTTCCGTTATAATTTCTTCGCCATGAATGAAAGTATTATCGTGAACTCTCAATCCTTTGTGTAAATTCCATTTCTGTAAAAAAAACTTATTGATAGAATCTTGTGAATTTTGAGGAATTTCTTGTACATACTGTGATATAACATTGTTAATATCAACCAGTCCGAGCATCTTCAAAGCCATTAGACAGTCTGGGCGTTTTTCTTAAAAGATTAAGTCAAATTAGTAACTTATTTAGTCTATTATATTAATATTTATATACGCGATTCTGAGAAAATTATTCTATGATATCCCATAATTTTATCTTTTTATAATATCAAAATTGTTGGAACAAAATTGTTCGAACAAAATTTCATATAATAACACTAGCTCCTTTATAATTCTTTAAAACGGAGATAGAACTTATAAAGAAGGATGACAGAAAACAATAATAAAATTTCTAACCTGAATCACTCTGCCAGCAATCCTGATATAGTTCATAATATTTAATAGGGGTTCCATAAACAGGTTCTTCTCTTCCACCGTTATCAATATATTCAATCATCCTCACAGGAGTTAAGTTGTTATAAGGTTGAAAGCCACTAGAAATTTGCCAAAGTAAAACGCCCAAGCTATAGATGTTAGATTTAATACCAAAAATATTTGAGGAGTTTTTGCCACAAGAACTTTTAATAAATCCTTTTCCTAATGTTAATGCTTGAGGCTCAACGTATGGAATGTTTTCAAAATCGTCCGATTTAAATATGTTTAGGCCTCCAAAGTTTGTTAATTTTAGAATATCATGATGAAGAAGAACATTTTTGGGGTTCTGGAAGTTAATTAAAATTTATAAGAATTAGTATTGTAGTTGATTAAATTGCATTCTATTCTCTTAAGCAATATATTAGCAATTTGGATTCTGAATCAGTCCTAAAGTTGAAGACCGAAAATTTTTTCTGGTTTGATGCATAAAACGACACTGAGCCATTAACTTTTGTCTCAAAACGATTTTTACTAAGAATGCGATTGGCAGTATATTACAATATCAATAAGATACGCAAATATTCCAATACACTGAAACCCTAAATACACCTTTTCTTATTGTTCTTTAAATGCACTTTTAAAGTTTGTTCCCAATAGAGAAGTCTGACAAAAGCACAAAAATTTACCAAATTCGAGTGAACTATCTGGTTATTGTGAAGAAATTCCAAACCGCTGATCAATTGTGATGCTAAATTTATTCTTTGATCCCAATTTAGTTCAGTATGTTCCAAATAATTTGCAAGGTTTCCTTGATCTACAATTTCTGCAAGTAAGTAATATTCGAGGAATCTTTCACCTTTGATGGTAATCGAGTATAGTAAGTTTAGGACAAATACATAAATAAATCATTAATGCGATATGTTTTAATATGCTTGTCTAGTAATTGATTTCTGAATAAACTTTAATTTGTCTGTATTTGCTACATATAGTTTGCAATGCTTACTTCGAGAGATAAATGACTTGAGAATATTCTTATGCTCTATAGAATAAATAGCTTTTATTTCCTCCTCATTGATATTTATGTCGCCAAAATCGGTCAAGGAATGATATGTAAATTTTAAATTGTTTAAATTAGCACAAGGACGTAAACGAGTGCCATCTTTTTTATGCTTTTTGGTATCTAAATTTAAATCATCGAATCTTATGAATTCGATATCCGTTTGTTCCAACCATTTATAAGATGTTGGATTTAAATTTAATGATAAAATTTCAGAGATTCCTTTATACAGGATTAAGTATAATACAGTACTGCTGTATTACGATTAATGTAGTACACCCCTGCTTTTTTAAACTAATACATAAAATTTCCGACAATTTGAAATTCCAGCGTTTTCATAATACGTAGCGATATTTTTTGTGTGCTGATTAAATATCAACTATAAATTAACGTAGCTCATTATTCATGAGGGTAACGCTGAAGAAAGATTTCTTTCCGAAAAAATTATGCTCGATATGAGTCTTTTGGATGTGCGCAAGCTCCTTGAACGCAATGATAATATTTATATGGGAGAAAATATGAAATTTCTCACATTTAAAAACCATCAAATTCTTTTCGAAGATGAAGACAATTATAAGATATCTAAAATTATTGACCGAGACAATTGCATCCATATCCGCAAAGACCCATCAAAACCAAGTTTTTTCCAATTTGTCAATAAACATAGTCTTATTCGTGGACGTTATTTTTCACCTGACGGTATGGAGGTTAAAATCGCACAGCAAGATGCATTTGAATTCAAACCACGTGGTAAAATTCCTCGATTGAAAATTTTGAATAATGCACGCCTGAATTTTTATTCAGAAACATGTGAAGAAGAAGCCGAGAAGATATTCGCAAAGCATTTTATTTCGAAAGCCAATGCGTCAGTTTTTTTGGCGCCTTATTCATTTAAATTGGGTATTAATTTTGAAAAATTTTATAATAAGAAGCAACAAGCGTCTGGTTCCTATGAATTTACAGGTGTCAAGTGTGAGAAATGTAGTGCAACCATATTACCGGATGAAATTGAACCAACTAAAGAATTTAAAGACGCCGTTAATAAAGCCCTGGATCAAGAAACCGATGAATTAAGATTGAATGAAATTAATAAATTGTCTGAGAAATTTGGTGATTTTTGTAAGAATTCTTTCAACAATTATCAAAAATTTGTTACATTTAAACAAATAATCATTTCAAAATTCATTTTTAGTTCCTTTGGAAACTGAATTTGGCGGTATTATTCAATATCAAATGGATTCTAATAACAATATTTCTATTAATTCTAAGAAAATTCAATTTGGATCAGATGTGCAAGATTCCACTCTGTCTTATAATTCTGAAAGCAACTTATCGGCATCCAAATCTTGTACTAATAAAGATTATGTCATTATTGGCGGTGATGAACATGAATGCAAGAATTTAAATATCGAAAATGTTGGCAATCAAGAAAATTGGTTGAAATCATTGCGTGATCATGACAAATGGGGACTTATCAATTACTCAAAAATTGTATCTGTCTACGAATTATTAGAAGATGAATTAAAAATGAAGTTATTTAGAGTACTCGGACAGAGAGTGCTTCATTTCGATACTATTGAAGTAACTTTTGATGAGAAGAATATTATGAAATGCAAAGAGCATGAAATAATCATTCCTACTGACATACTTGTAAATATGAAGAAAAATAAAGAGACTTATCAAATATATGCAACGATTTTACATTCTAAAGAAGACATATGTGAAGTTTTTTCTGTTCATGTAGAATATTTTTCTTTAGCCAATCCATACTTAGTGATACAATGTATTAAGGAAGGAAAGTCAGAAAGGAAATTTGAATGCGTTGTGAAAGTTGCATGGATGATTGTTGGGTTTCCCTTAAATTTTAATTTCAAACCTTCTTTATTTAAATTAAAGAGTTATACCTTAACAAATCCAAGTCAAAAATTTTATAACCATTCAAAGTATAATGATCATAATGATGAAAATTCTGGTCAAAATTTTTCCGAGATATTTAAATCACATCATAGTAGAACTTATTGTCTCCTCGAAACATGTGCATTTCGGCCTAATGATGAAAACGAGGAAATTGCTTCTGGAATCGTTACTGGATGTTACTTTTGCAAAATTGATAATCGAAGCTGGAAACCATGTTGTTATGTATTTGATTTGGTAAATAGTAATTTTTTCTTACCAATATAATGTCTTAAATTATTTATTTATTTGTTTATTTATTTTATTATTTATTTATTATTCAGAATGAAAAAAAACAAGTAGATTTCTGTCAAATAAAACAATTAGAAATCTATTGGAGCATCATTACAGAAAATCCTCATGCGCTAGTTGGACCTGAGGAAATAGAATGGAAGAAGTGGAAGAAGAATAAGGACAAACATACAATATATAAAGGTCAAGAATGGTGTAAATTTGCAAATGAAGATGAACAAAAATTAATATTTGCAAGCTTTTTGTATGATAAAAGTGATTCTACTGATCAATGTTCACCTGTATTTGTAAATATTAATCCTAAATATCCTTTAATGCTTTCATTCAAAGAACAGGATAAAACGAGTCACATTTCTTATCTTGTCGCAGATTTTGAAAATGTTTACAAAAAATTATCATAATTGCTTTTTTAAATAAAAAAGATTGACAAAAATTAGCTTATATAAGTTTCTGTTTCTTTACACAATACAAATTGTGACGGCTGATGCTGAAGTTTGGCTGATGTTGAAGCTAAAAAATCTGATTGGTTAGGGTTAGGGTGATCTGCAAAATTTAGCCAATCAGATTTTTTAGCTTCAACATCAGCCAAACTTCAGCAACAGCCGTAACACAAATTATAACACCATTTAGTAAACAATTATATAATATCTATATGAAAACATGTAAACTCTTTTAACAAAAGCATTTAAAAAATATAAGAAAAGATATTATACTATTGGGACTATGTCTACTACGATTAAAGATGGGTGGATATTTATAATGATTTATTTAAATCTGTGAATGATTCTTGATATTTCCGCGAATAGCCTATGCATAGTCATTATTTGGTTCATAAAAACAATAACTCAAATACTACAACAATTCACTATCAAATCGGCGAATTTGTAAAGAACCCTAAAATTATGGGGTATTAACCAATTGGTTGGGATGAGACATTCGACTCATCAATAATAGATTATACTGTAATACGTATGATATGCATTAGCGTTAGAGTAAAATTTAGCTACGTACGTACGTACGTACATACGAAAAAAAGTAATCGGTTGGAGGGTGGGGGCAATGAATTTTTATAACAGACTAATCAGTTGATCATCACTCAATTATCATTTAAGGGTCTT